ACTAATACTGGAGAATCTTTAGTCCCGGTTGACGTTACCGATCGGTGTTAAAAATACATTTTTAGTACCATTTGGTAACATCAACCCGTATTAAAGTATTAAAGATATTTCAGTACAGGTTGGTCAACCAGTTCTAAAGATATCCCTAGGGTTAGTTAAAAAAAACATCCCTATCCAAGTTAGATGTGTGGACTTGGTGGGATGGTTACGCGCGTGAGGGCTGAGGTGAGAGATCTTGAGTTTGAATCACATGTTTTTTGATTTTGTATGCATATTTAGTACCGATTATTTCAACTGATACTAAAGATCGAGATTTTTAGTCTCGATTTATTGGTCACGGAAGCTATAACCGGAATAAATGGGGGTTTTCACGGTAGTAAAAATGAGTTCTTCGGTAGTGGTATGTTACCTATACATATACATATTTGTTGCAAGTGAAGCATTTCCTTTCGGGAAGTTGAAGGGAATCTTTTTTTTTCCAATTCTATTACCTTTCTCAATAATAATGACCTACTGTTCAATGCTCCATCCGTTTCATATTATTAGGTGGTGTTTGAATCTCCTAAAGATGAAGATGAAGATAAAAATAAAAATTAAGTGTTTCACGCAAAACGAGGTGGTAGTAACGTGCGATTAATTAAATTTTAATTATTACAAACTTAAAAAATAGATTAATATAATATTTTAGAGCAACTTTCTTATAGAAAGTTTTTGCACGAAACGCACCGTTTAGTAGCTTAAAAAGCGTGCCATGAATATTCAAAATTTAATCCAACTCTTGTTGTAGAATCAAACGCAGCCCAAATCGTTTGACTTTTTTAAGTCAAACTTCTTCAAAGTTGATCAAGTTTATAGAAAAATATAGTAGTATTTTAAACACAATACAAACATATTATTAAAATATATTTAGTGTTAAATTTAATAAAACTAACTTGATATTTTATGTCGTTAAAAGTTTGCTATAAGTTTGGTCAAACTTAACAAAGTTTAACTAGAAAAAAAATCAAATGACTTATAGTATGAAGTGGGGGAGTATTTAATAAAAAACACAAGGATGACATGCACCTCTACTATATTAAATAAAAAATTTTGGTGGAAAGGATAAATAGAACAATCAAGCATAGGTTAACTACTACTCCCTCCGTACTCGTAAAGGAAGTCATTTAGGATAATATTTAACTCAAACCTTGAGAATAAAAATCATGAATAACTGTCAAGTTGTTGAATTTGAAAATATAAAAATTATATGAATAGATTTGTCTTCAAAAATACTTTTATAAAAGTATACATATATCACTTTTCAATAAATATTTTTATAGAAACAATGAGTCAAAGTTATATTTTGGAGATCGCGTCGCTGTCCAAAACGGCCTGTTTTACGGGTACGGAGGGAGTATGAACATTGCCACTGTGGAGATATCGATATCATATAGTCAAATATTTGCTTTTTCTTTTGGATTGTGCAGCATTGTAAGCTTGGTATGCATCAGGAACATCCACCTTCACCATGGAAAAAGAGCCTGTAAGAAATAAGTACCCTGCATTAGCACGATTTGAGATATTTGGGATTGATCTTGCAAACATGTATAGTCGAGCAACTTGCTAGTACAAGGTCTTCTTGATGGCCCAGGAAATATGAGGTGATTTCTTGCAGCTAGATTTCGACTGCAAGCTGCAAAATCAAAAATACTTTATGCAAAATTTTTAGGTGGTGGCAGTGGGCTGGCGCACTTGACGAAGAGTGAAGATTTTTTTTCTTTTTCTTTTGACTGATTAACCGTTGTTTACGTGGAGGGAAGATCGCTAATCTTGTACTATTATAAGTAAAAGTACGTTAAACTTTCTTCAAACACTCCTAAGTCACCTCACATGACACTCCTACAAACACTCTAAAGCCACGATGTGACACTCTAATAAATTATAGAAATTATAATAAAAAATAAAAATATCTGACCATCGATTTTCATTTAAAATGGTGGACCTACTAATTTTGACCATGAGATCAAAATAACCCTTCTCTCCTGGCCCCACACAACAAACAACATCAAACTTACGTATGTAAGTACGCCTATCCTCCTCTCATTTTCTCTTTCTTTTTTCGAATTAAGTTAGTTATTACGAGATATACATCACTACTTACTTATCCTATCTTTCTATAAAGTTAAGACCCACTATATTCTAAAGCTTAACATACAAAGATGCCACATCATCCACTAACATTTACTACATCTCAAATCTCATGCAAGCATGCTAATATATTAAGTTTTAGAGCTTTAAAATGCAAGCGTGTTAATTAAATTATCTTCCACATAATTCAAATAATATTTTAATATATCTCTCCTTCACATTTTATAATATCCTATATGCCTACGTAGTTCATCCTCACTTAAATTTTAGAGCTTAAAAAATCCAAGCATGTTAAATCATCATTTCACACAATTCTCAAAATATTTCAATATATCTCTCCATCATTTTGTATAATATCTATATACCAATACAATTAATTCATTCTCACCTAGTTAGTGTTATTTCTCTCTTCTCTCATTAAGCCATATCACCTCAATTGTTTCTAACCCACAAATGATTAATCTATGGTTGGAATTATCTTCCTCATTTTCTTCTTTCATAAAGCCACATCATATTACCTTTAAATTTAGGTCATTATTCTATATACTATATAAATTATGATAAACCACATCAGCTTATGCGTTCTAAACAAACTCCAAATCAGACAACGTTCACGGCAAACTTGGCCTAAAGAAGCGGATGTTAATTCAAAAATTTTCCACATTAAAGCAAACTCGAGGAGAAGAAAGAACTTTATTCAATTTCTTAATACGCCAACCGGTATCGCAGTTTCGGCGCAAGACAAAGAGGAGGAGCTTTTCCGGTTCTTCAAAGAGAGATTGGGAACTTCTTTCCAAAGAGGATCTGGAATTAATTGGAGCATGTTGAACCTACCTTCTTTAGACCTTGAGGATATAGAAGAGGACATTACGGAAGAAGAGCTGAAAGCGACTATTTTCTCAATGCCGGCCGAAAAGGCACCAGGTCCAGACGGTTTCATAGGGGCTTTCTATAAGGCTGCCTGGGAGATAATCAAAGAGGATCTACTAAAGGCAGTAATTTCTTTCTTCAATCGAAATACATTGCAACTTCGTGACTTAAACTCGACTTTCATCTGTCTCCTCCCCAAAAAAGATGATGCTAATGGAGCAGAGCATTACCGCCCTATAAGTCTAATTCATAGCTTATCGAAGATAATTTCCAAGCTATTGGCAAACAGACTAGCCCCAGAGCTTCCTGAGCTTGTTTCCCCAAACCAAAGTGCTTTCATTCGCAAAAGGGCTATTCACGACAATTTCCTTTACGTTCAAAATATGGTGAAATTCTTGCATAAATCGAAGAAACAAAGTCTTTTCTTCAAAGTTGACATTGCTAAAGCTTTCGACACCGTTTGCTGGCCTTATCTTTTAGAAGTCATGCGTTATTTTGGTTTTGGAACTCAATCATTAAATTGGATTTCTAATCTTCTAGCGACATCGACATCTCAAATTCTACTGAATGGAGTTCCTGGGCCGTCAATTGCGCATGTGAGGGGTCTTCGACAAGGTGACCCGCTCTTGCCAATGTTGTTTATCCTAGCCATGGAACCTTTTCATCGTATTGTGAAAGCGGCTGAAAGCGCTTCTCTGCTCTCTCCGATCGGGGGGCGTTTCGACAGGTTCAGATGTTCACTATATGCAGATGATGTGGCGCTATTCATGAAACCTGAACCAAATGACCTATTGGCACTACTGCAACTCTTATCCTTCTTCGCTCAAGCCTCGGGTCTTCACACAAATGTGAGCAAAACAGAGATTTACCCAATCAGGTGTGAAGGAATAGACCTTACCTCCCTGCTAGCAAATTTCCTGGGCTTGATAAAGCAATTCCCATGCTGATACCTAGGGTTACCCCTTCATTTCAGAAAATTAAGAAAAGTAGATTTCCTTCTGCTGATTGAGAAAATAGGTTCACGTATTCTAGGATGGAAAGGAAGATTATTCACATCGGCAGGACGCAAAACACTAGTGCAATCAGTTTTAAGCTCGATGCCAACACACCACCTTATAGCTCTTCAGGCACCTAAATGGGTGCTAAAGAGAATTGATCGCTATCAAAGAGCCTTCCTTGGAAGGAGGAAGATCCAGACAAGACCAATCTGGGTAGCAGTCTCGTAAACTGGCAAACGGTGTGTATGCCTAAACAGTTAGGAGGGTTAGGGCTGTTGGACCTAGAAAGATATTCGCGAGCTCTCTGTCTACGATGGCTCTGGTTTAGTTGGAAGGATGAAGGCAAACCTTGGACCGGAATGCCAGTACCTTGCGATGAAACTGACAGGAGATTATTCCAAGCAGCGACGTCGATCACACTAGGCAACGGAGAAAAAACAAGCATCTGGCATGACAATTGGCTTCAAAAATGTTGCCCGAAGGATATAGCACCTTCATGTTTCAGGTTGGCCAAAAGAAAGCAAAGAAAGGTCCAAGTTGAGCTGGTTGGAAATAAATGGCTTGCCTCTTTCCGGCAATTCTCCACGGTCAAGGAAATACATGAGTTAGTCCACTTGGGAAGCCTGTTACAGGATGTTAACCTCTCCGCTATTCCTGATGATATCTCTTGGAAGTGGAATGAAGTAGGGATTTACACAAGCAAGAGTGCTTACCTTTTTCAATTCGAGGGATCTTTTGCTTCCATAAATTTCTCCTCGATATGGAAGGCGCCGGCCGAACCAAAAACAAGGTTTTTTTGGAGAGTCCCACTCCGGTGCTTTCTACTCGGAGTAGAATTTAATCTGGGCCATTGGTCGTATTTAATTGTAGGGCTGAGATCTAATTCTACTCCCACCAGTATTAGTGGAAGTAGAAATATGGAAGGGTGTTTTCGTCAAGAGAAAAAAATCGCGTAGGGGTATTATCGTATTTTTTCGGTCTCTTAGTCATCCTATCCCTATCCGATTCCTATCGCATCGTCGCCATTTCAGCACCTCCCGTCGCCAGTCCACCCCATCCCCGCCTACGCCGCCGTCCATCTCCCTCGCCGCCTCCGTCGCCTGTCCAGCGCCGTCGCCTGTCCAGTGCCGTCGCCTTGTACGCTCCCTCGCCGCACTCGCCCTTCCTCGCCGCCTTCTCCATCGCCAGCGCCCCTCCGTCGACGTCCGCCTCCCCGCCTCCCCCGATATCGGCGGCTTCCCTCCGTCGAAGCCCTTCCTCGTCGCCCTCGCCTCCTTCTCCTCCGCCCGCGTCTCAGCGCCGGCTTGTGAGCCCCCACCGTCGCCGTCCTCCTCCCCCGCCCCCTTGTCCAGCGAGTCGCGTGACGTAGTCGCCCCTCCACCCGCCTCCGCCGGCGCGCGACGAGTCCTCTTCGGCGCGTCGCCTCCCCGAGCCACCACCGCCACGGTCTCCTCCCCATGGACCGACGCACCATTCTCCACTCCACCGCTGTCGCCATCGACCTAGCCGCTCCCTTCTCTGAAGTCTGAACATGCCCTTGGCAACCGATTTAACCCAGTGTAAGCGATACTCTATTAGGTAGTAGGAGTACTACTAACTGGGTCATATTAATCACAGTTCACCAATTCTATTGTCTTGAATTGCAGTTTTTTTTGGTTAATTTTCAATTTTTTCCCTCTTCAGTGTTCAGATACTATGCGAGGAATCGAGAGGAGACAGCCGAGCTTCAGGTACATTCTGAATCCTCCAATCTTACCATACTTTTCTTACCAATATTCAGTTATACGGTATGAGAAAGACAGCGAAGAGAAGTTGGTAAAGAGTATCATCTTCTAATGCGAGATTACTCATTTACTCTGTTGCTTCAGCCTTCATTATAGTGCTCACCTAAGCAGCATCTTAATATACCAACCATTACTGTTGTGATTTTTCAGATAAAGGTTGTTTGTTCTTGAATCCATTGTATTGTATATTGATTATTTGATTGAATGGTTGTTTGATCCACCAGATGAATGGACTGTTTGAGGACTGCATGTTGGCTGCAGCCGTTGCATGCTGTTTGATATGGCTTCGGTATTGCTTCCATGCATTCTGACCTATCTCACATTCTGCATATGTGCTTGAAAGCTAATGCTTGGTTCTGTTTTATTTAGTGCCTCGGATTGATTTAGTACAATAAATTAAGCGCTCAATTGTTAAATAGTCTTTCAAAATGATTATGCAGTCTCTTTTCTTTTCCAGACATGCATGAATCTATGGTTGGCTTAAAAATTATAGTTGAATGGGCACAACATTAATGTTCACTGTGTACAAAAAACTGTGGTTGTATTTTGAATTTTGTACATGATCCACGACAGGTAATCTGCATTGGTTATTTGGTATATTTGTGGAGCATATTATAGATCAAGATATATGTGAACTAATAGCATTTTAAAATTAAAATTTGTCCAGATCACCATATTTGCATGAATATTTTTCCTTCAAAGTTGGTCCATTTTGTTCAGACAGGACAACATTGCACTTCATTTTTTTTTTCATATTATGGTTCAAGTGCAGATATTGTGGATTGCCATAACACTATCACCTTCCAAGTGCAAATTAGCACTGAGATTTCTGGGTTGATCAGTCGTTGTGAGTATGGTATTTTGATTCTATGTTCTTCTATGATTACCAGGCTCTGGAAGGATGTAATCTATGATATATACAGGTGGTGATCATAGCATGATAGCAATCAAATTCCACAGTGTTGGTAGGAATGAAATTTCAAAGGTTGTTTGTTCTTGAATCCATTGTATTGTATATTGATTATTTGATTGAATGGTTGGGAGCAGGGTCAGTTTGCAAGACGGTGGCATGCGCGAAGGGTGGCATGCGCGAAGGGGATCCGCATGCCGGCGAAGGGGTTATCGGTGTCAAGGTGCGACATTGTAGCAGACGCACGTCGGTGACGTCGACAGCTGACTGCGCTGAGTCACCACGAAGCGTAAGGATTCATATACCGCTCCTTCTCAAATGGATTGAAATATGAACTATGAATATTATCTCAAAAAGGCATCAATGTTTGGGATCCAAAAAATACTCAAGTAGTATATAAATTATTTAATAAGGGTAAGAGAGCATAGTAAGGTAATTGTGATAAATGTATGACAGATGATCCATTTATGTCGTGGTTGGTAGCAGTGGACGATCTTTAATGTTGTTCAGTTCGGAGTTGATCAAAATTCCGGCTAAGTCCTGTCGAAATGTTTTCACTTCCTTCTGCATAATGTAAAGGGAGTGCATTTTAAATGGTTTTTCGTATTGGGAAGCAGTGGTGCAAAATATGAATAGAGGTTGTTGTAGTTACCTGTAGTTGAATTTTTGGGAGATAAGATCCGGTCCAATGCTCCATGAACTTAAGGGTGTACAGGCCGCACGAGACGCTACAAGAATTTAGTCGTTAGGCTAAAATGTTTCCGTAATTGAATAATGTGAATATCACGTGGAAGAGTTTGAGTCACCCACCAGTCTCCTTGCTTTGGCAATTTTTGGACTTTGTTGTAGTCCCATTCGGTAATTTTGAAATCAGGCCAATCGTGTTTTAACTGTGGGTGCTGATTCTCTGTCCCGTGTAATCCCCTCTCGATAGCTAGCAGCTGGGAAGTTTTGTGCAACGTTGGTACGGTTAAAATATAGCAAAACCGATTTGAATTATACAAGTGGAAGTGTATCGCTTACCACACGCCTTAGATCGGGTCGATCTTTACTGATTGGCTTTGCGAGCGAATCTAGTATTTGCACCTCACGTCGCTTGGCGTTAAGAACGGCTAGGTACCAGTGTGTATCTTTAATATTAATTGGGAGGAAAATCTGCAGATGGTCAACAGTAAGATTGAGTCATAAATTGAAATCCCCATTACATAGATAGCTTAAATAAGTATTACCATGTCAAATGCTAGATAGTCGCGTGCCATATCTCTAATCCATCGTTTATCTCGAGGTTCGCTTGCTTCGATATGCGCTCCCTCTACATTTAGTAGACCTGTTTTAATGGCCATCTCTAGGAAGGCCTTGCCATCTCCCCTGATTCCTTTCTCTTTATAGCGGAGGCATTGGATGTATGCATCCATGACCTGAATTTGAGTTTAGTTGAGTTACATAACAAATATAGTTATAAAAGAATAGTAGGCTTGTTAAATAGGCGAACTTACATCATCATTCAAGAAAGCTGGTTGTGTTAGTACTTTCATTCTTATCCGTTTAACCTCCACTTCTTCAATATGCACCATCACTTTGTTATCCTCCGTGTTATTAATGTAGGTAATGAACGGGTCTTCTTTTTCAGTCAACTCTACGAAGGTAGGACAAATTAGTAATAGATGTATAGAAATGTTAAATGGTTAGTCATTACCTTCTGAATTTTTTAACGTTGTTTGGCCATTCGTTTTTTTCTTCTTTTGACCTCGTAAGGCGTTCTTTGGTGGGCCTTTGTCTATGTTTTTTTGGGTAAGATCTTCCTTCTCGATGTACACTAGAAAAGGGTAAGTCAAATCAGTAACACATAAACATAGAATATAAGTAAAAAATTAAGGATGATGTAGAGAGTTCATACATTCGGATATTTCATTCGGTGTTTGATTGTCTTGTTTCCTCTTCTTTTCACCCCGTAATTCGTTTGTGTCTGGCAAAGGGTAAGTCAAATCAGTAACACACAAATGTAGATTATAAGTAAAAAATTAAGGATGATGTAGAGAGTTCATACATTCGGATATTTCATTCGGTGTTTGATTGTCTTGTTTCCTCTTCTTTTCATCCCGTAATTCATCTGTGTCTGGCATGTAAGCTTCTTTATTCGTTTGCGCTTGAAAAGGAGTAAAGTTAGTACCATTGACATGAGCATATGTAACTATGAAATAGCATAGTACCTATTGTTTTCTTTGTCTGTGCTTGGGTTTTGATTATGTCCTTTTTACCCCTTGTTTCGTAGATGAAGTCAGTCCGATTAGTTGGTTTGTATGTTCTTCCTGTAGGACCTGTAAGCCTCTTCCTGCTTTGATTGCTCTGGTTACTTCTGTCCTGTTAGGTAATAAAGTGCACGTTAGTATTATGATAAGTTGTAGTAACGTTAGCGAGAGAAATAAAATTCTGTTTACCTTCGTTTCACAAGTCATGTTTACATTTTGGTTTATATAGGTCTCTTCGTTATGATTTGATACATGCTCCCTGGGATCAATTTGTTCTTGTTCAACATCCTGCAAAAGCATCAACCTTTTTTTAGCGGTGTTATGTAAGTAATAATGATTAACAGTGTAGCATATGATCTTTACCTCAAACACATGCGTACTATCTTTTCGATCTGGGCATTTTGAACCATTTTCCATGCAATCTAGTATCAATGATCGCATACGTGGCCAAAAATCCTTTGTGAAATCGTTGAAATTATCTTGTAAAGTTTGGATGCTTTCTTGTAACCTTTCTTGTAAAGTGATGTCGGCTGATTGTTCAGTGGATGTTATAGAGTGTACCTGCATAGCACAAGTGAGAAAATGATGTCGAACATTTTTTTGTTAAATAGAGTTCGTATTAAAACCCCATAATATATACCTCTTCAGAAGTGCCTTCAAAATCTTCATTGCTACGTGTTTCTGAGTCATTGTCCTGCGCTTTTTCTTCGGGGATTTCATTGCAATGTATAGTTCCCCTAATGTCGTTGACAACCTATTTTTAGTGAAAAAGGTGTATTAGAGATTTTACAGACAGTTGATATAATTAGTACATAGTATTAAAAATGAGATAGTTACCTTCCCTTGTCCAAAAAGGTAAGAAATTCGCTTTTTTTCTTTTTTTTTATCCCAGTACTGAATTAGTGGCCTTTGACGGCTAGAATGATATATTGTCGCAGCCAATTTATCTATTCGCACTTTTTCCCAATACCAAATCTGCAAGCATTTGAACATTAGATAATGAGTATTGCTATGAAAATATGTTCATGACAATTTTGTAAACATACTAAATTTTGAAACGAACCTGTAAGAGGCATACGTTCCCCTCAATGTTTGTTGTCTTCTCTCTAAATTTTATTATGCCTTTCAGTAACTGATTCAGTGTTAGACTAGACCAGTTTAGTTCCCTCATTTTGTCAACGTCGTCGACGAGATTGAGATATTCTGAGCGCACATATCTTTGAGTTGTAGGACATATGAATGATCCAATTGAGAAAAGAATAAATCTTCGAATGAAGTGGTCATCGTAGCTCGAGGAGTTGATTATTGCTTCCCGTAATGCTTGTAAAGTAATTGTTGTTTGGCCTTCCTTTTTGTACAGGTTGAACAATTCTGGTTTATTGATTTTTGGTGCCTCAAATATGTCATCTCCTTTTGATGGCAGTCCAAGCAAACAATCAACATCATCGAGTGTCATCGTTACGAAGGTACCATTAATATTGAATGCTTTCTTCTCCTTGTCGTAGCTTCTTGCAATCTCATTGCACAAGTTTCGGTCAATATGTATGTTGTCAATCTTTAGCAAGTTGCCAAGACCTGAACCCTCGATAGCTTCCTTTTGACGTGGACTTAGATGGAGTATTACCTCGTACATGGCATGTGGAGAGCAAACTAGAGTTCCCTGATTAACAGAAAAGATAATAAAAGTTTAGTCCTTGTGAAAATTTATGCAAGTGCTCATATATACAGCAGCCATAAATCCTAATGGTGCACTGTATTGCACATCATAAGGTACTAATCCATATTAATTTTCTTAACATGAGAACCAATGTGATTGAAGTGAACACCTTATTACCATTTGGGGTCATATAAATCATAATGTACTATATTCTTGCTGATGTGATAATTATGCAAGCATATATTTTTTTTGTACTATATCTTTCTTAGTGGGGATGGGCGTGGGGGTGGGGTGGGGGTTTGGCTCGACAGGGATTTCTGAACATATAGGATGAAGGTGTTAGTCAATATAAGAGTGCGTAATTGGAGACAAAGCATTAATTGGTTCACGGGAAAATCAGGGTTAAGGTTGTAAATGCTTTTTGAGCTTTCATATGGTGTTTTCTTTTCTTGTGTCTGTGGAAGGAGCTTTCATTGGAAGGTATTAGCAATGTAAATGTATTTCATATTTATCTCTGCAAGATTAATAAAAGATTTTATATACTAAAGTACAGTTGCAAAATGGGTATAATCATAGTATACTTCTGTCCTGTTTTTGCAGTTCCCTCTAGTATGTATGTGTGGAACAATACGAAGAATGGTAGCTGAATCCAAGGATCCAGATCTCTCAAAGTTGGAGCTTGTACATGTACCAGGGGGAGCTTTAGCATTTCAACTTGCTGCCAAGTTCTGTTATGGGAGCTTTAGCATTTGTTTAATTCACTAAAAAATTGATTCTATATACGCTCTGTTAGGTGGGAAAATCAGCTATATGTTGGGTAACAAAAGTGTATGGTGCTGTAGTATGAGTTATACCTGACCCCTTTAAACTGTTGCCTGTATTATCCCATGTAGCAGGCCCGTATTTCTTGGGACATCTCGCCATGGTGTTTTGTCTGTGAGGCTGCTACGTCCTCTAAACATTTGATACAGAGACTAGCCAGAGCTCAAAAGAGGCACGCAGTTTCATCAGGAAAGAGACTATCTTCCTAAATAATCTAGTCATATCTGCTATACTTATCATAGCACCTTAGATCGGATGTATTTTTTGCTTGAGGAGTGTATGATTTGCAGTAGTGATGTATACAAGAGCTGAGAGTGAAAATTTCATGTAAAAAGACGTACCCGTTTTTTCTTCTGTTGGCTTGTGCCCGTCATCGTGGGAGCAGATTGTTTTTGTTTGCTCCTCATGGGGGGCTCGTAATTTGGCCTCATGTTGTAAAGAAACCGAGAACTGTATCATATATCGACATATATATATATATATATATATATGTATGTTACACCTGGGATTAGCTTGTTACGAAAAAATAGAAGATCAATATGATATACAGTTATTAGCTATTGTAAATCCGCGGCTACGAGAAACATAAATTTCGGCAGGGAAAAATAACAGATAATTCGGTTTAAAAAAGAACAGATAATTCGGCATAAAAACATCTGAGCAAAATTCTGCAGGAAAAAAAACAGATAATTATGCATGAAAAAAATTCAGTTAGAGTACGGAAATTCTGTTATACTTCTACTACCTAATCTCAGCCGAGTTCGGTAGTATTAGTTTTAAAAACCTCGTGAGTTTAAAACGGAATAAAAAGATATCGTTAATATAACACAGGATAAGTTCCGACAATTTTTTATAGTTGTGCAAAATAATCCGTTCCGCTATATTATACGAGCGATCGACCGGAAATCCATGTTTTTAAAAAAAGCGACCGTCCGGACGGTGCGATTTAATTTTTTATTTGTCCAAATTTAATCCGTGCCGCTATAATATACGAGCTATCGACCAGAAATCCATGTTTTTAAAAAAGCGACCCTCCGGACGGTGCTACTTAATCCGTTCCGCTATATTATACGAGCTATCGACCGGAAATATTTGTTTTATTAAAAATCGACCGTCCCGGACGTAATAGTTATTTTGTCCGAATTAATCCGTTCCGCTATATTATACGAGCGATCGACTGGAAATCCATGTTTTTAAAAAAGCGAACCGGTCCGGACGGTGCGACTTAATCTTTTATGTGTCCAAAATTATCAGTTGCGCTTTAATACACTAGCTATCGACCGGAAATGCATGTTTTTAAAAAAGCGAACCGGTACGGACGTGTAACACCCTGAAAATTCGACCGGCAAAATCAAAACTCTAAAAATACGGATTTTCAAAAACTTTTTAAATTAATTGCATCATGCCGATCTTATTCGTCTATTTTATCTGGATTTGATCTCAAAGATTATTAATCGTGAGTAAAGAATAGTTAATTAGGAATAAACCTTAAAAACAAATTGGTAAAATAAATACAAAATAAAGATTAGGTGGGATAGAAATAAATAAAATATTATCGCGACCATATTTGGATCAATTAAATTTAAATACGATGGAATAAGAATTAACCCTAATTAAAACTCAAATAAATTACATAAAAATAAAATATGAGTAATATTAATCTAGGGTGAATTCATTAGTTGAGATAATACACATATTGAGTAAACTTCATTTATGCAAGATTTAGAAATTATAGAATCAAATTTATATAGAAAATAAACTAAAATTGGGAAAAATAGGAAAAAGGCACTATTCATTAGCCTCTAGGTGTTCGACGAGGCTCCCTAGCCCCTTCCCCTCCCCTGCCATGCGCGCCTCGCGCCCCGAGCCGTCGCCGTCGCCGCCTGCCGCCGTGCCGCTGTCACCTGCCGCGCTGTCGCCGTCACCGTCGCATCCCTCCTCGTGCCGCGTGCCACCGCTGCCGCCCCGTCACCGCCCGCCCCGTCACCGCTGCCGCGCCGTCCCCATCGCCATCCCGCTGCCGCTCGTGTATGTGCACTTGGTATTTCAGCTATGAATTCGTGTGTACCAGACTACTTGATCCAGGGAAATGGTACTGTTTACACGATTGATTCCTGTTATAAAAACGGGGGTCTACAGGACGGTGCGACTTAATTTTTTATGTGTCCAAAATAATCCGTTGCGCTGTAATATACTAGCTATCGACCGGAAATCCATGTTTTCTAAAAAATCGAACCGGTCCGGACGGTGCGATTTAATTTTTTATGTCTCCAAAATAATCCGTGCAGCTATATTCTATGTGCGCTCGACCGGAAATCATTGTTTTCTAAAAATTCGACCGTCTCGGACGTTATAGTAGTTATTATGACCGAAATAATCCGTTGCGTTTTACAGCGTGCAGGTACATATATATCCACAGAAAACGGAACAACGAAAACATTGGAATGCTCAACTTGAGTCGTGCACGGTCACATGTTGATCCGGCCGGATGTAGCGGCAACAATACAAATAGATATAGATTCCAGGAAAATAGGTATTTGTTATTCTGCTTTTCTTGTTGTCTCGCCAGATTAGTTTCAATCAAGAAACTTGCCGATCGCCAGCAGTCTCCGGTGACGACGTCGGCAACGACGCACCCGACGGGGTCTCCGATCACGATGTCGGCAGCGACGGACCCGACGGGGTCTCCGATCACGACGTCTGCAGCGACGCACCCGACGAGGTCTCCGATGACGACGTCGGCAGTGAACCATCCGACGGGGGATTCTTCAGCGGCACGGTCTAGGGCCAGTAAGACTTCGAAGGATGATAGCACTTGCACCGTTTCAGATGACCCCGTCGTTACGGGTGTTATCGATGCTTTCCAATCTCCACCGATTCTTCAAAAAACTGCGGTATTTTTGCTCACATTCCTGTTGTCATAGATATTTATTTTTAATAACTGTCATTGTGTACTCCAATTTTTTTTTTGGTACATAGTCCGCACATCTATATCCATTTTTTTAATCATAAACTTGTCAATTATATAACATTGCAAATCCATGTCTACCACCTCTGTGTTGTATCCACCATATTAGCCGGAAGCTATAATGACGTACTGACAATATGAAGCAAATGATTGTGATTGTTTTTTTAGTACGTGATTTTGTATACGGGAATAAATGAATGTTTGTTTTCTGGTTTTGTGCATGAATAATAAATTAATGTTTTTATTTGTTCAGGTCACTGGATTGCAAACACAGATTTTGCTTTCACTGGGGGACCTTTCGAGCCAAATTTGTGAAACGCAAAAGATGTTGATAAAGATGGCCCATGATAACACTGAATTTCAGGAAAATATGAATGATAGAATGACAAACGTTGAACACATTCAACAGCTACAATTACAGCAAGTCACGGTACATTTTCTGAACATTTATGTTTGTTTTTTCCACATGGCAAAATGCTTTGACACATATCTTTCTTTTGTGCAGGATATAACGCATGGAGAACAACATTTTCCAAGGAAAAGATACATCGAGGTCGAGTATCCTAGCACTATAGGAAAGAGGGTTCGAGGAGTCAATGGTAGGGCCGTTGTAAGTAACAAGAAATTTGATTGTTACAAAAGATGCTTGGTAGACGGTAACGATGACTTCGATTTTGTTTGCACTACGGACGAAACACGCATTGCGTTGCGTATATTGTGTGCAAAGCCTACTGAGACGATAATCCATATTGATGACGTCGTTTTGACGAAGGCCGATTTGGTATGTCTTGTACAGACTTATCCGTATGACAATTATGAAAAAAACATTAGCACAAAGGTACGCCTATGCACTATTTTTGCAAAAAGTAAAGCAAAATCATCTCTAAGTAATGCTTCATAAATTGTATTGTTGATGCAGATCATTAAGGCGTTTGTCAAGCATTTTGGACAAAGTAGATCAATTAAACGACATAAACATATGTACCATGCCTACTTAGAGACCCCGTCAGTTGTGTCAATGCTTATCAAGTATGGCTATTATGATGGTGTTGAGCTAGGAAACACTGATGAAAATATGTACAAATCCGCTGGAGTCAGCTATGTGAATAATGATATGGTAAAATCATACCTTACAAATTTGAATTCATTATATTATTTAACTATTTTGTAAATTGTATTGATTTGACATACAGATTTTTCTACCAATAAGAACTTCAATAGACCATTGGTACGTAGCGGTTCTGGACTGTACCAGAAAGGAGGTGTGTGTCCTTGACTCAATGGACACGACTGAAGATGACTTGAAAGAACTTAAGTTTCTGGTACTTTTTCCCCATAAAGTGTTAGCATTATCAGTGCAACCAAGTTTGTAGAATATTAATTATCACATATTTATTTCATGTAGATGAAAGGCATCCGCAAATGTGTCCGACTTGTCCTCGATGATAAAATAGTAGAGAACCCTCTGTGGGACGATTACAATGTTCAAGCTTGGAAAATCAGGATTAGATATAACTTGCCTAACAAAAAAGACAGGTTAGATATTTACAACCCTGAGAGATGACTTTGTAAAAAAATTCATTTCGGAATAATTTTACATCTACTCGTACTCGTACAGGACATCCAGTGGGCTTTACTCAATCAAGTTCATGGAGTTATGGACAGGAGATTCGCTAAGCAAACAATTTTATCAGGTATATATGTTGTACAATTAGCACGGAAGCATTCCTATTTATTTCACTTAAAACTAATAATATTGTTGTCAATTACACAGGAAGACATAGACAGCTACAGGAGAAAACTTGCAGCAATCTTGTACATGTCTCCGTCAAACAAGCTTCGAAACAATATCTGTTCTACCTCAAACGGAAATGGTACTGATGGAGGAACTAGGGCGGCAGACGTATGATTGAATAAGAGTTCTTTACGGTTTTGATAATTTCAGCTCAATGAAGACATATTGAACATGTCAGAAATTCATGGTGACTAATAATAACTGAGGCATTGTGTTCGATTAATTATTGTCATATACAGCTACAATTTTTTCCCTGAAATTAATTGCACTGTTTTGGCTTGGTGCTGTTCAAGACGAACTGTATTTACTGCACCGATGCCTTTTGATTATTTTCAGCAGTACAGTTTTCTATTTCCTACAACACATAGTTGGTATATCTATAGACAAAATTAACATGAACACCATATAACAGCTTAAACCATCACGTAGGCTAAATATAAATCACATAGTGCATATCATAATTCATCAATTAATTTAGCTTGTTTTCTTCACATCCTTTTCAAGAGGGTATAAGTCATTTAATGACATGTAAGTACGTAATATACTTAGGAAGTGCAATATTTATACATGTCATTGTCAGACAATCATATCTCAACAATCCATTTTGAGATGCTGATACCAACGCAACCAAACTGAAGTACTGAACATCGCATGAGCTGAACACGCAAACTTCTGATGAAGTCAAAATCATGAACTCTAAAACACAGTTCAGTTGAACAGGCCGGCCACTGACAATCGCATCAGCTACTGACTTCGGAGATGCTGTGCAGCGATGGGCGCCATTGACGATGCCGGGAGTGTGTCGCCGAGCTGCTCCGTTGGCCGTCTATATCATGCTACGCAAACCGCGATAGGATGGGCAGCAGAAGAGTAATCAGAATTCAGAACATGGCACTTTGTCAAAATTTAATAAAGTTTAGGAGACTTTGCAATCAAATCAAATTAAAGATAAACCTAAATTATGAAGGCTAAGGTGTTCAATACTGGAATGTCAAGCTAATGAGATTAGATCTTGCCAAATTACATGCTATTCCTGACAGGGAAATGTAGATGGCTAGAAGATGAATAATGGTCTTTTGCAGGAACTGAAAATCCCTTTCTTGTCGCAACAAGACATTTGATGTTTATTATTATCACCCATAAACTGTTTCAAGAATTGTCGGTGATTTTTTTAAAATTTAATTCGTCTGAAGTTTTGGAACTGACAACTAGGTTCGAGGCCTTAGTGGAGCACTTCACTTTTCTGAGGCATTCATAGTTCATACAACATGTGGACACTCTGTTCATGTAATCTTGGATATTTAGGAACATGACAGTACTAATGTAATCTTGGATATTTAGGAACATGACAGTACTATTACTTCAATCTGAAAAGTTGATGTGACAGAAAAAATAAATAAAACCAAGATGTTGACACACCATAAAGTAAGCCTATAAATCCAAACTTATCACTGCTCACAAGTTTGTATGATTGCAAAGCCTTACTACTGCCATAGGCTCACATTGGAGGAAGTAGTTAGCAGATCGTTCTATAATCATCACAGGAAAAAGGTTTCCTGACCAAACTACTAGTGATTAAAAAGCTTCCCAAGTCCAGCAGCCATATGCAGTTGTATTGTACCTTATAACTTACAAGATCTGATTAAAAACTGCTGCAATGTTTCTGCACATATGGAAACGCACGCCTAACTTTCAGAAGAGATTTTACCTGATGCACACAGCAAAATGATCTGTTCCCATGCATGCAGTCTTGATGGCTATAGAAAAGGAGTCTGTTCTTCACCTATTGCTAAGATTGGAGCCACTGAACTGGTAGAAATAGGAAACAGTCAGCAAACGAAATTGAAATGGATTCAGAGGAGGGTGTAACTAGAAGAATACCCCCCCCCCCTCCCCAAACAAAAAAAGTTTTCAGTATTAATGGCACAAGTAATCTTGTGTTCTTGCCATGATCTGTCTCCTGATTACAAGTCTCTTGTCTGAACCTGAATTGTTACCCCAGACTATGTTCAACTAAGACTATGTACAAGTATATCCTTCCCAATAAAGAAAATCTCCATATATCATTTTAAAACTATTTCGAATTTCCATTCCATGGAATTCAACCAGGAACAGTAACATTTGATTGAACAATAACTGTCTAATAAAGTTTAGTTCACAGCATTTCTAATCCAAAAGCATTCACCAGCGGAAACACTTAATATGCACATCTTGAGAAAAGATTAAACTAATCCAAAACAAAAACAATGCCAATAATACAAAATATACAAAGTTTGTGAGACACAATTACCTTATTGGTTATTTGTGTGCAATGTCTCACGGAATGGCCTTCGTCTCTTCGATGGAGCTCCTTTTGCCCTAATCTCTTCAGGATCAAGTACTCTCTTCTCTAATGGCTGGTTACTAGACGAAAAGTGAGTTGGCATAGGACCAAAATCTCCGGCCACGATGTTCTCATCGGATGACGATCCTTTATCCAAAATCCCCTTTAAGAAATCCATCGCCTTTTCTGTCTGCTCAGGGTTCCTAGCGGCCTCGAAGAAAGCATCACTACCTAGATTTCGGAGGCTACGGTACCGAACCATGTGTTCAGACCACACATTAGGATCGGCATTCCTGTCTGACCTAAATGCCGCCTTTGCTCCCATTGTCCACCTATCCACGACACAACAACGAGGGATGGTGTCAAAACCAAGGAACTTGACTACAACAAAAATGTGTGAGCAAGGGATGTCTTCGCACTCCATCTTCCGACAGTGACATTCCACACCTTCCAAAGCCTGGCCTTTAAAAGAAACCCTCACTTCATCCCACACCTCATTATCGTCCTTCAAACCAACAACATACAATGACGAACCATCTTGATTAGTCCCACTGATGACTTCAAGTCCTGCAATTAGCCGTATCTGTGCACGGACTTTCTTGAACACGACTGCGGTGTATATACGGGCAGCGTCTTTCTCCAATGGGTCGGCGTCTATTCTACAAAAAGGGACCGAATTGGTAGACTTAGCGTCCAACTGAGCCTCCTTCTTACGCAGGCCTTGTATGCACAACTTAACATGTTTGACTAAGCACATTAGTGACATGTTTCTCTTTAGAAGGGTGTGAAGCTTTGAGTTCAGTGACTCACTACGTTGGTTGCTGCGCATACCCAACAAGTATTTCCCATCTGTATAGGCAGCTGCCCATTTCTCCCTTAGTCGGTACATCAGAGCGATCCATTGTCCATTTCCCGTGCCTCCATTCTCCTTAAAATCAGCCCAACGTCTCTCGAACTCCTCTTCATCCATACTCTCATAAATTAATTTTCTTAGCTCGTCGAGTTTTGGCTTACGAAGGTGACGACTCATATTCTCCTCTATATGCCAAGTACACAATCTATGGTAAGCACCCGGCATTACCTTACTGATAGCCTTCGCCATTGCTAGGTCGCCATCGGTAATTAATGATTTTGGATGCACTTGACGCATTGCCTCCAAAAAAGTCTCAAGGAGCCAACAGTAAGAGTTGACAGACTCATTTGATAGAATTCCGCACCCAAAAATTGTTGTACTTCTGTGGTGGTTAACTCCTATGAAAGGAATGAAAGGAAGATTGTACTTGTTCACACGGTAAGTGCTATCGAAAATAACAACACCACCAAAAGCAGCATAGTCTAAACGTGATTCAGCATCTGCCCAAAACACATTCCTAAGACGCCCTTCCTCATCCGTGGTGTATTTGAAGAAAAATTCTGCATCTTCTTCTTGCTTCCTTGTTAGATATTTCAACACATCTTCAGCATCATGACCCTTGATATTCTTCATGTCGTACCGCGTAAAGAAATTATAAAGGTCCTTCATCACAAAACCAACCTCGTCTAACTCATCGTGGTTATTCTCCATAACCTCCATGACTTGAAAGGGCCTAAGGCCACTCATGCGAAGCTCGACCGCTTGGGCTTTCTTAGAATCACTCATCACACGATGAACTCCTAAAAAAGCAACATGGTCTGGATTTGCAAGTTCGTGCGTATGTTGGTTATCAAACTCCTTAACAAACCACACCCCCTTCTCCTCGTTCCGCTCAATCTCAAGCTTAGCTAAGCAACCGCAGCGGGTCAGTGCCCGTGGCTCCCTTATCCGCTCTGTCCTCTCAAAGTGCTTCAACTCCCTGTACCCTTCACATGAGCATACGAATTGCCTCCATATAATTTCACCGTCCTTCCGTTTAAGGTTGTTTTTCCTCACACTGAAACCCTTCCCCTTTGCATAGTCTAAATAGAATTTGTAACCTTCCTCCTCGCTTGAAAAAACCACAGTACCCATCATTTTATACTCTTCCTGATCCTCTAGGCTCACATAGCTCGAAGTCATTATGTCAGACCTCACCTACGGAAAAGTACAAAAAAAAACAAACAGATCAAGCACCCAAATATAAGCTTACGTCCTTTATACCTCATAAGTATATATAAAAAAAGAACAACCATCAACTGCATAAATACATTGCCACTCTAAACTATTGAGCAATTACTACAGTTCCCCCACAATGGCTGCAAATTTTGTATGTACGATAAATTGTTATACTAAAATACATTTTCTGAAAATGGTTGTTCAGAGATAATTTTTCTTTTTTCATTTCAGCTGTACAGTCAAATTTTGTGTTGCACATCATCCAGTAGTTTCAGAACTCTGTTTCTTTTTTCAGCACCACTGGAGAATATATGCATTTGTGTATTTCACAATGACTTCGGTTACATGCTCCTCTCTGATAATTCTACCATTGTCGAAACCCTTAAAAAAGGAAGATCCGAAACGGAGCCAGGTCATTGCAGCTTATTAAGACCTATTTGTAGTCAGATCGTTGCCACAATTCCTGAATCTCTTTTGCAGGTCATGTGGATTCCTATGGACATAATCAAGTTAGCTGACAAACTAGCAAAATAAGCCAAGTCCAATGTTAATGCAGCCCCTGTCTATTTTTGTCAAAATATATCGCATTTGTCTTATCCTACCAGAAGATGTCATGCTAAATCATATCTAAATATCAATGGTCAGTTCGCTAGGGCAGCAAGCCATACATGCACAGCAAAATCAATTTAATATTGTTCATATTTCTTTCAAAAAACTATTGTTCTTCAGTTTCATCGTTCATACTTGGGGGACGGTATCCACACCTGCGATGCGAACCGAAGATGCGAACCAATGCGATACGGACGGCGACGGAGGCGGGCAAGGCGGCGAGGTTGGGGGAGGAATTGGGGGACGGTATCCACACCTGCGATGCGAACCGAAGATGCGAACCAATGCGAACAG